CTTGAATTATAGCTTTAAAATAGCTTCTGTTTATTTGTCTGTTTCTTTTTTCTTCAGAGGCTACTCTAAATATGTGTATGTGTATCTCTAATGCATATCTTTTCTACTTATTTTTTTTCTCCTAAATCCTTCTTCCCTTCTTCCCTTCTTCCTTCCTTCCTTCCTTCCTTCCTTCCTTCCTTCCTTCCTTCCTTCCTTCCTTCCTCTCTTTCCTCTCTTTATTTCCATTTCAGCGGTCAGTTTTCTCCATTTTTTCCCATATTCCATCCCCCCTCCCTGCCCCTACACTTTCTATTTTCTTTCCTGCTTTCTATTTTCTTTTCAGTTTTGTTAAGATGCTTTTCCTCCTCTATGTCTTTTCTGAATTCTGCTAAATCACACTTTATTTCTTCCTGTTGTCTTTCTATGTCTTCTCTGAGTTTCTAAACTTCTGATTTAGATCTGACTTCAAAAGTAATCTCTTCATTTCTTTAATAATCCATAACAACATGTTTGGTCACACTTTTTATATGCTCCATGGCAAGGTTCTTCTGGTGTGTTTTCTTCATCTGTAGGTAAATTCTGATACTCTTTCCCAATTTCTTTCTTAGAGTATACTGAATTTATTGTTTTTAATCTCTTTAAAAAAAAACCTTCATCCTTGAATTAACTTTTTTCCCCTGGACCAGCAATTTGTTGGGCTCAGAGGTACAGAGTAGCCTTCCAGTGCTCTCTGCTCCACCCTCACAGAGACGGACTGCTTCCTATACTCTGGCTCCTACTTGTTATTATTTGCACAGCCCACTTCCTCTGTTTCTCTGGACAAGACATGGACTTGCTCATGGACACAATCTTCAATATTCCACACAAGGACTATAGCTTTTACAAAACAGGGTTGCCACTCATATTCAGAAAGTTAGGTTATTCTCTCCCTGCCACCCTCGCCCCCCCCCCCCACCGTGTTACTTGACATGTGTCCCTGCTGAGCTTTCTTGCTCCTTTCTGAATATTTTCTTTACTTCCTTCACATGGCTTCCATCTTACTTGTTTATGGTCATTGGTATATGATCAAAGAGTTATCATTCTCTTCTTTGAAAAGAAATTTCCAGGAAGAGATGGTGAACCTTCCCGATATGTGCACCAATATTCACATTTTAAGTTGATTTTCTCACTATACTCAAACAGTATGAAAGAAGTCAGTCTTAAAATTAGTGCACATACATGTGAAAAAAATAGGGAAAGAACCACCCAAAAGAATTAGAAATAACATTGCCCTTGGCTCTTTCAGGGATGGGAGTAGTGCCTGTTCTCACGAATCAGACTGGAAAATCTCTCAGATCATGAGCATTAGGTAAGGTGCATACATTCTATGTAGAATGGTCTTGTTTTAGTATGGCAAAGAATTATGCTTAGACTGACCATTGTTTCATTCTTGTTTAATAAATTTTAAAAGAAAGATCTGAAAAGATCTATTTCCAGGAAACCTAACTGCACCTCAGAACAAAATTCAAGAAGATTTGTAGGAACACAAATATATCCAGTACCCACAAAGGTAAAAATCATCCAGTCTAACATTATCAGGCTTTAAAGAAGTAGGAGAATATGACCAATACTGAGGGGGGAAAATCAATTAATCAAAATTGACCAAGAACTGACCCATATTTTAGAATAGACATCAAAAGAATGATTATAACTGCATTCTATATGCTCAAAAAGTTAAGTTGAGGCATGTAAGACACGAACAAAGCCCCAAACTAAAGTTTTAGAGGTAAAAATGACAGTTAATACGATTAATTGCAAATTAGACCTTGCAGAAGGAAATATTAGTGAATTTGAAGACAGCCATAAAAATTATCCATTTGAAACACAGAAGGGAAGAGGAGAATTAGAGCTTCAGAGAGTTGTGGGACACTGTGCAGTCTCAGATATGCATGACTGGAGTCCTTGAAGGAGAAGAGAGGGAACAAAAAACTATATTTGACAAAATAACAATCCCAAATTTTACAAATTTGATGAAAATAATAAACTCATAGTGTCCCAAAACTCAATGGACTCCAAGCATAAGAAACATGAAAAAAAAATTACATCAAGGTACATTGTAAATAAATTGAACAAAACTGGTAATAGAGAAGAAAATCTTAAAAGCATCTACAACAAAAAGATGCCTGACGTATGGAGGATAAGGACTGATTTTTTTGTTATAAAAAATGCAAGAAGACAGTTGATCAGCAGCTTTCAAGAAATAAAAGGGTTGGGGAGGGAACCCTACCAACCTAGAATTCTATATCTGGGAAAAAATAGGCTTCAAAAATAAACTTGAGGGAAAAAAACTCATGACAAGTAGAGCATGTGCTACCAGAAATGTTAAAAGAAAGCCTTTCAGGCAGAACAAAAATGATACCAGATGAAAGAGCTGTTTCAATAAAAATGGCATGAATGCAAAGTGGGATTTGTAACATATGCAAAAGTTGAATATATGATGGCAGCAAAAGCACAAAGGTTGGGAGGGATGAAATTGAATTTGCATACTATACTTGAAGCTAGTCAGAGATAAAATAAAGATGTAGGCTATAAATCCAAGTACCGCTTAAATAAGGAAAGAGTTATAGCTAACACAGATTGAATAGGATGATAGTTAATCCGTTTAGTTAATCCAAAAGAAGGCAGGAGAAAAAGGAATAGGATAAATAGAAAACAAGATGACAGACTTGAATATAAATATATTATTATTATATTAAATTTAAATGGTATAAATATCCTAATTAAAAGCAAATGGTAAGATTGGCTGGTAATTTGTCTGTTCTTCTAGGTTATATAAATTTTAATATTGGTACTTATTTATACAATGAATATTTACTTTTTCTCTACTCCAGGAGGACACAACATATGTTTGCTGGAGTTACTGCCTCAAAGAGCCTGTCGATAGTCCCTCTTCACATGACCCTTACAATCTCAACAGAGTGTAATAATCGCTTGAGCAGAGGAGCTCGATTCTCTGCACACTTGGAAATAACAGTGCTTTAAACATTAACACAATGACCATAGCTTGTACTGTTTTAATTAGAATGATGGATAATTTCCCACAACTGCTACAATATAATGTTTCTACTTAGAACTGGCCATTTGTAATTAAGAATAGAGCAGCATCTATGGGATCTCCTGGCAAACCCACTTATTTGCATTTATTATTTTCCAATTTTATCCCCCTATTAGGTCAGTGGTTCTCAACTGAGGCCAGTTTTGCTCCCGGGGACATTTGACAATGTCTGGAAATATTTTGGGTTGTCACAACAGGGGTGGGGTACTACTGTCACTGAGTGAGTAGAGGCCAGGGATTCTGGCTCTATATCAAACAGGGCTGCTCCCCTCCTGCTATAACAAAGACTCACCTAGCCCCCAAACTTAATACAGCCTAAGTTCGGAAACCTTGAACTTACGTAACCATTTCATCCTAGTTTGCCCAGGACTTCCCAAGTTTTAGCACTGACAGTCTTGCATCTCAGGAACCTCCCCAGTCTCAGGGACATAGTAAAGATTGATCACCCTACTTCCTACCCACTAATACTAGAAAAGCAGTCTCTATTCAAACAGTTGTTCCTTTTGGTATGAACATCAGTCTCATATTATATTGTAATAAAAATCATAATCCACATGAACATGCATTGAGCACATTCTGTCCAATGCAATTGGCTTATAGAGTTCAGGTAAATTGTTGAACTCTAAACAGCTGGTTATGGTAGAATTAGAATGATAAAAACAAAGTCTATCTTGAGTATAGGGAGCCTATTTCTGCTTTGAAATATTGAAAATATTTTCTCTACACTGTGCCAACCTCATAACATAGCTGATATTTATAATGATGATTGTCAAAACTATGAATCAAACACAATTACATGTAATATAAGTATGGCTTTCATTTTCTGAGCTGTTGCTGGTTACAACTATACTACATCAGATCTGAGCTGATATAAAGAGTACAATTTTCTTATAAAAAGTATGGAATTTGAAACCAAAGATATTTGAGTCTAAGTTGATATGTGATCCGGGTAAGTTCTGAGTTCCATGGGGAGAATGTGTAAATTAAATGAGGTAATTTTTCCAGAGTCTCTTGTATAGTGCCTGTATGTCAAAGCAATTCCCTAAGTGGTAGCTATAATTACCAATGTGAGGAAATTGTTTGAAATGGCAGAGATTAGTTTACTCATGGCATTTTCATTGGCAGAGACAGAGAAAGGAAGAGAGACAATGTGAATATCGTAACAGTTAAGCCTAATATAATGAAAAGGCATGAAGCCAGAAAGGATTTAAGGAAACTCAGCTTAGTTACATCAATACTGTATGGAAATGTAACATTTATCTTCTGTAAGATGTGGGAAATAATGCTCTTTACTGAATATGGTAAAGATTGTAACAACATAGAATACACATCCCAAACAACTTCCCATTTCTTTAATAAAAAATAGTTCTATTCTTAAAATAGCATTTCCAAAACATTAGAACAGGCTGAAAATCACGAACTCCATTGAGAAAACTACTTTGAGTGACAAACATTTGGTAATGGAAATGAAATATTAATTTTGCCTTCATTAAGCAGATAGCCAACGAAACAGGTGAAGTTCTATTTTCTGTTATTTTTATGAGGGAAGGCATGGCTCCTGATGTAAAGATACATTTAGAACTGCAATGTAATTAAAATGACTCTAAATTACAATGTACTGAAGGTAACCGCTAAATAGACAGGTGTGAGTAAAATCTGTTTTGTTTAGAGTAACAATATGCTTAACTTAAGGAGAAAAGAATGAGATGTCTGTAACTCTGTGACGAATGAAAAGACACTTGGGAGGAAGGGGTACAAAAAAAAAGGGATTGATTGTGGAAGAATTACCATCACCCAGCTGGATCTTTTCCTTGGTACAAGTAAAATTAAGCTCTCCTTCCTCAAACAAGATTGGTTCACGTTAGTGGTCAACAACAGATGGACCAAGTGTATGATATAAAAGTAAGGAGGCATGCCATCAAAGGTCAATTCAAAGTCAACAGAATTTTTATTGTTGAGAGCTCAGAGGAGGAAGGGAGGCCAGGAACTAAACGGAGAGGACATTCCTTTGTGTTTGGGAAGATGAACCCATATACGCCTTCACTTTTTCTCCTCCATTCTTTCTCCCCCTTGGTTGGATTTCAAGACAATCTGATGACTTCTTCCTCTTTTTTTGCATACTGGTTACAACGAGAAGCAATATAGAACCTGCAAATCAAACAGGTGGATTTGAGAAATGAGAGAGTAGTTCTGAAATGACAATTGCTTTCTGCTGCTACTAAGGGTTATAGACTTTAACAGATACCAGGTGACGCAACTGGATCCGGTGCTACAGTAATGGTTGAGGAAGATATGTAAGGATATATGGGGTCATGTGGCTATCATAAAAGGAAGGCATATTAATACTGTGAAACTACCAGCAGAAAGTCTCATAAAATGACAGGCAGCTACAATGGCAGGGGCAGATGCAAGTTTTGTGGAGCTTGATGTTTCTATAACGTGAGGGGTCCTTTATACAAACTCAATTACAGAAACGAATATTAAAAGGAAGAAATCATAACTACTGGAACTGTGGAGACTGAGAAGTTCATTTCGGATTTCTTTAGACAACTCCCATTAATTCACACCCAGAAGTACTTGCTGATTGCAACCCCGCCTTCTCCTTTGCACCTACAAGGCTCTTAAATTCCCAGACCACACAGGGGCCCTTGCCATGGTCATTAAGCTTCATTGGAGGAACCCCTCGCCTTCAGGAACTTCCCGCTGTAGCTTACTTTGTCTTGCTTGAGAAGCCTAAAATTACCGAGAAACATAAATAACAGAAACTGTTATTTATTCCAACTGATGCTTTTCATTCCATGGTCAGAACTAAAAAACCTCACACACCTATCACCGATCTGGACCCCGGCCGCACAGCTTGCGTCGGTGTTGGGCGTTACCGGTCTCGGGATGAAGTCTAGCGGGCCCTCGGGTCCACACCACGTAGCTCGCCCCGCGCTGGAGCCCCGGGGCACCGCACTCCGGCCGCGGCTGGGAGTTGGGGGCGGGCTGCACGCGGGAGGCTGAGCACGGGCCGCGCCTCCTGCTGATTGGCCCCGCGCTGCCCCTGGAGGCGGGCTCTCCCCCGCGGTCGCCCGGCCCGGGGTGGCTATATTGGCACCATTCCTGCTAGGTTGGGTCGCTTCCTCGCGTGGATCTGGACCTCGGGAGAAGGCGTCTGGGGGCAGCGCGGGCGCAGGAAGCGGAGCGAGGCTGCCGAGAGCGAGCCGGGAGCTGTGGGGCTGCAGTGCGATGAAGCAGCGGCTCAGGGAGCGGAGGCTGGCGGTGTGGCGAGACGGTCCGGCCCGGGGCCGGGACTGCTGCTCCGGAGGCTGCTGAAGGCGCCGCGGCGGCCGGCGCAGAGCGCGGCGGGCGAGCGGGAGGAGAGGTTGCGGAGCGCGGGGAAGCCGGGTTGGGCGGCCGGCGGCTCGGGTTGGCCTCCCCGGTTGGGATCCCCCGGGTGGAACCATGCGGGTGGCCAAGTGGCTGACGGGGCTGCTCTATCAGCTCTCGCTGTTCATCACCAGATCTTGGGAAATTCACTTCCACCCCAGGCAAGGTAAGGTCACCGCGGGACGCCTGCAGCAGCGAGGTGGGGGCGAGGGGAGTGCGGGTGGCTCAGCCCCGCTGTGAGGATCCGGGTCGTGCAAGGGGCTCGCGGGACTCCCGGATCAGCCAGCCCCAAGCATCCCCAGAGGCTGCGGCTGCCCCGGGTTTCGAGGAATTGTGCGCGCCAGGGACCGGTGTCCCTCCCGGGACCACGCGGTGGGGGCTCTTGCGGGCAGAGAGGCGCGCGCGCCCGGAGGGCACCAGTGGGCGGTTGAGAAGCCAAGCGGGATGGGAGAAGGGGGTGAGTTGTTCAGGCCCGGGAGTGTCAGGGTCTTTGCTTGGGAGGGCTGGAGAGAGTCGGGGGTGTGGGAAAGCGGAGCACGTGTGTGTTCGTGTGTGCGCGCGCGCTCGTCAGGATGTGTGCATTGGTCGTGCCCCCGGGTGTATCTGGACTTGGGACGTACGGTTGAAGTTTGGGGGTGGGACGTTGGAAACGCCCGGGGGCTCAGGGGCCATATTTCTGTGGTTGTAGAAGCCCTGGTAAGGACACTGGCCTCCTACGAAGTGGTGACCCCCGCGCGGGTCAATGAGTTTGGCGAAGTGTTCCCTCAGAGCCACCACTTCAGCCGGAGGAAGCGGAGCTCGGAGGCACCAGAGCCCACGCCACTCAGGACCCACTACAGAATCAGCGCCTACGGGCAGCTCTTCCAGCTGAACCTGAGCGCGGACGCGGCCTTCCTGGCCGCCGGCTACACCGAGGTGCACCTGGGAGCCCCCGCGCGCGGGCCAGAGGAACGCAGCGTGGTGTCCCCAGATCTCCGCCACTGCTTCTATCGAGGCCAGGTCAATGCTCGGGCGGATCACATGGCCGTCTTCAGCCTCTGTGGAGGCCTGGTAAGTGCCCTCTGGCCCCTTGGTATTTTTCTTGGGACCTAGTTAAGGGCTATGTTAGGCTCATCATGGGGTTTTTCCGAGTTGATGGTGACCGGAGAGGTCAGAGAGGGTTATCTGAGGGATGAACACCTAGATGAACCCAAACTGAGGCCGCCCCTTCCTCCAATGGGGAGACGGGTTTGGAAGATCTGTGGTCTCGACCTCGTGAGCAAAACTAACCCTTTCTGCAAAGGTGGGAGACTCCTGAAACCAGATCCTAAGCTAGTGAGTCAGGGAGTGGCCTTATGAGGCCTGAGCCACATGTGAAATGTCTTTTCCAACAGGGCAGGTGATTTCTCTCAGACACCCCAAATCCGGACCACTTATTGAAGCCAACTCCCCTGAACTTAAATCTCCTTGAATTTAGAAAGAAATGAAAATGAATATATGTAAAACGAGGAGGTCTCAGAAGAAAAGTTGGCTTTTTTCGATATTTTGGGGATGGCCATAGAGACTTAATTGGCCCGCGTTTAAATTCTACTGCATTTGACAGGGTATCTCCGAAGACCTGGTGCCAGTAAATGAGGAATGATTGAGTGACAGGAGTAAAAGATTCTAGTGTAAAGGAAAACACTTTATTGTGGAGAGAGGAAATAAAGAGTGGGTTCTTTGTGTTTTGTTCCTCTCCCTTGAAGGCAGAGGTGACTCTAAGCAATCCCCCACCCCCAGCCATGAACTTCTTCAGCAATGTGGGGAAACCCAAGACCTTTTCTCAGCATAACTTTAAATGTGTAAATGTTCATTGGCTTCCTTTTTAAATACTAACGGTAATCAAAATGTTACAAACACAACTTGAGGTTTCATATTGTACACTTCATCAACACACTAAATACTTCATCAACCCAGCCATCTTCTTGGGGAGGGGTCTATTAACTAGTGGTAGTAGGTGTAAACCTGATAGCTTACATAACTGATACAAAGGTATCCTTCTACTGGTAACAAAGTCACAATGTCTGTTCTGCCTATGATCAAAATGAAAGCCGGTGTTAAATATCAGCGGTTAGTGAAAATAACGTCTACCACTTTCCCATTCCAAGTTTTTGAAACCCCAGGTTTCAATAGTTAATACTGTTAAAACAAACATATGTCACTAACTCTTCTAGTAAAAGACAAGTTCAAGAATAGATCTCTAGGAATTTGGTTACCAGATTCTAGCATTCAAATGTAATGCTTCCTCTCAGGTTAATTGATGTAAGACATTTTCCTGGGTGTGAGTATTGGTCATTACTAAGTAAATCTTGGAAGGTCTCCTTTTTTTTTATGCTACTTCGAGCTATATTTACATGGAATGTCTTGAACAATTTCCTTTTCTGCTGTATATAAACGTAATAGAAAGCTTGCAACATCAGAATGGCAGAAACATGTTAATCTTTACACAGCCACCTATATATCAAAGGAAAGAAAAATATTCCTAGAACTTTCAGAATGTGTAACTGGTCTGGAAAATTCTAGATTTACTACCACAATTTGTCATGGTTAATGTTTTCTTGATTTAGTATTTCATGGCATGGAAAAACATTCCAGATGGGAAGCATTATTAGGAGTGATGTTTCTGCTCCTGTTGATTCACAATGCTGGTGTAGTTCAAATTATTCAGTTTCCCCTTTTTGAAATCAAGGAACAGTTGGAACTGTTTTTAGGTCTTGACTAGAGTTCTCCTCGCCTGTTACTATGCCAATTTGGATATTGTTGTCTAAGTTCTGACTTAAGTATATATACTTTGCTTTTGAAAGATTTATTGACCTTCTCAAACTTTAACTTTTTAAAAACTTTATACATAATGTGAGTGTGTTAATTTTGTAAGGCTGCATTGAGGACATCAGTCATGGTAGGAAGAAGACTTCCGGTAATACAGCAAATACCAGCTAAGAATCTTTCAGTAAGTGATCATGACCAAGTAAAAGTCCAAATTCCTAATAAGAAGAGTGGCATTTGTTTGATCTTTTTTTTTTTAATATTTCCACTAGAGCCACTATTAGCTATATACTTATGACTGTATATCTTTCTACCCTGACTCAATCATTAACTTCCTTTAGAGTAATGGTGTCCTCAACTAGCTGAACTCCTGGTAGGTTCTACAGTCTATTTGTCACTATATCCAATTCTTTGTGGTCTCAGATTAGTCTTTAGACCTGGATAAAATTGTGACACCCACAACCTGGACCAGTTGAATTGTTTGCAGATCAACCTTGAAACAATGCCTGTGAAGTTATTAATACTAATCTTCTGGCCCTGTTCCTTCCTGCTTCCTGACTGGTCTTTGACTTTGTTATGTGATTGTGATCTAGCTTTGACCTGACAGTCCATTACCCACTGAGGCTGAAGTTTACTGAAGGATTGTTAGATTCAATCTTAAAACTTAGCAAAGTTCTTCTACTTTCTTCTGTGGCTTTAAGTTGACATTTATTTATAAATGAATGTTGTACCTAAATACTTTCCTTGAATATCTTGAAAGGAGTATCTGGTTTCCTCACTTTATTACTAATGTGTATTGTTTCCTACATTGCTAGATTCAAAGATACATGGACTATTGACAGAAACTGACCCCACACAGGGCCTTAAAGTGTTTATTCTGAGATCATTGTTTGGGAGGAAGGTGGAGAGATGGCCCTTTAGTTCCTCTGATGTCCTTTGCAACTAAGTTGTTTTGCCTGTTGTACCACCACCTTAATTCTAGACCTGAGGACTTGTGGCCGCCTCTGCTCAATTGAGGCTCCTGGGCTCTCCCTGCTGCTACATGTCCCTGTGGGCTGTGGCTGTGGCCCTTGTTCCATGTCTAGTGGCTGCATTGTGTGGCCCACTCACCTTGCTTCTGCTGTTGTATCTGCCCCATGCAAGGTGGTCTGATGCTGCTGCTGCTGCTGGTAACCTTCCAGACTCCTCTAAGGGTCTGAAATCCTCCATGGCATTTGAAAGTCAAGGGAGACTTAATTCTTCCCTTTGCCAAATTCTGTCACACCTTTAACTTTGTGGAAGGTGTGTGGAGGAGGGGGGGGGAATCCCTTTTAGAGGGTTTCTTCCCCGAATCCCACTTTCCTGCTGAAACACTTCTTTCAACGGCCCCCTTAAACTAACATGCCTTTGTCTCTTAGGATCTTCGTCATCAGTGGAGAAGTCGGCATATGTATATTTTTCCATGTGTTTTTTTTTGCCTCTAGTTACCCTTTTTTTCTTGGAATCCACGAAGTTCCCCTTTGACATCTTATTTAGTTAAATAAGATGGTTCATTTTCCATCTTCCTACTTGTGGTAGCATTTACCCTTTCTATGGTGACTAATGAGGATGGAGATGAAAACTAAAATATCTCTGTATATGCAGCTACTTAAAAAAAAAAAAGACACTTCAACATGAATTCCATTTAGTGGACTGCTAGTGTTGAATTAACCCTGAACAGGAGAACTTTAATTTCTATATGGTTAACTTTCTTCCATTCTTCAGAAGTCTTGGTATTTATATCTTTCACTAAATCCCTGAGCCATGGCTAGTACTTGGTGGGTTGGTTTGTCTGTTTTTTTGAGGGGGAGGATGCGAGCAAGAGGGGGCAGAAAGAGGATCCCAACCAGGATCTGAGTTGAGCAAAGAGCTCGACTCTGGGCTCTATCATCCCATGACTCTGGGGAAAATGACCTGAGCCAAAATCGAGAGGCAGATGCTCAACTAACTGAGCCACCCAGGCCCTCCTTAGTTTTAAGTGTTTGGGGCCCGAGAATCAGGAGGGGCATAGGGTCTGCTAGAAGTCTTTTTCATGTGTATATCACTTGTACTTTTTGGTTTAATTTCTCATTACTATAACACCTTCAAACATATATAAACGTATTCATTTTTTGAAGTCTACAGTAGATCCAAAAATGGAACAGGATCATAAGACTACCAGTAAGTAACATAATGGCTAATCAAACTTATTTAGCCCATTGATGAACTGTCACAGAATGTATGGTTGTCGAGCCTTAATTACCCTTATTTTCAACTCTAAGCTCGGCTTTATGGTCTTTTTCTCTATCTCCTGATGTTAGGGCTCTTGCCAAAGCAGAGGTCCGTATTTACTAAGCTGAA